GGGTCTGACCTAGTGAAAGTGTTACCAATGGGAGATTAACAGGTTCTTCCTTTCTTACCTACATGAGAAGTGTTCCCAATCTTCCCCTCAGCAAAGCATCTCTCATCAATCTCTCATCATAGACTAGGCCTGAGTACATCAGTGAGTGAATGAGGGTGTAGTCATTAGGAACAAACATTATCTTAGCTCTATGACAGGTGTCTACTGACTCCTGAAATTGCGCTGTGTGTGTGTGTGTGTGTGTGTGTGTGTGTGTGTGTGTGTGCACGCACATGTGCATGCCTGGTGTGGTTGGTGATTATCTCTGAGTCATAGCTGAATATTTGAAAGCCATTGTATAAAATTTCTCTCTGAGAAAGTTCACTACTGAACTCTTGCTATGAAGCCATCGTAACTCTCATCCCCAAATCAGACAGGGACTCATCAAAGAAAGAGAACTATAGACCCATTTCTTTCATGAACATCGATGCAAAACTTCTCAACAAAATTTTGGCCAATCGAATTCAATAATTCATCCAAAAAATCATACACCACAATCAAACAGGATTCATTTCAGGGATGCACAGCTGGTTCAATATACACAAATCAATTAATATAATTCATCACATCAACAAGAGCAAGGATAAGAACCACATGGTTATCTCAACAGATGCAGAAAAAGCATTTGACAAGATCCAACACCCTTTTATGATGAAGGCTCTGGAAAACCTAGGAATCCAGGGAACATTCCTCAATACAATAAAGGCTGTGTATGAAACCTACAGCCAGCATTATACTTAATGTTGAAAAACTAAAGCAATTTCCTCTTAACTCAGGAATAAGACAAGGATTTCCACTCTCTCCACTTCTCTTCAATTTAGTATTAGAATGGGTAGCTACAGCAAAAAGACAAGATGACAACATAAAGGGATCCAAATAGGGAAAGATGAAGTAAAACTCTCCATCATTGGAGATGACATGGTCTTGTATTTAAAGCGTCCCATGGACTCCATTCCCAAATTACTCAAGCTGATTCAAAACTTTGGCAAAGTAGCAGGGTATAAAATTAACCCCCCAAAATCAATGGCTTTTCTGTATGCCAACAATGAGAAGAGTGCAGCTGAAATCAGGAAAGCACCTCCTTTTGTAATAGCCCTACAAAAAATAAAATACCTAGGAATTAACTTAACCAAAGAAGTGAAGGACCTCTATGATGAAAACTTTAAAAACCTGAAAAAGGAAATCAAAGCAGAACTTAGAAAGTGGAAAAACCTCCCATGCTCCTGGATTGGAAGAATCAACATCGTGAAAATGGCAATACTTCCCAAGGCTATCTACAAATTCAATGTGACACCTATCAATATTCCAACCTCATTCTTCAAGGAAATAGAAGAAGCAATCCAAAAATTCATATGGAAAAATAAAAGACTCTGAATAGCAAAAACAATCCTTAACAGAAAGAACAGTAGTGCTGGAGAAATATCAATACAAATTTAACACTCTACTACAAAGCCATAGTAATCAAAACAGCTTGGTACTGGGACAGGAAGAGACCGCAGGACCAAGACCAATGGAATAGAACTGAAGATCCAGAAATGAACCCAAAGACCTATAGCTACCTAACCTTCGACAAGGAAGGTAAAAAAATAGAATGGAAGAAAGAAAGCCTCTTCAGTAAATGATGGTGGCAAAATTGGTTAACCACTTGTAGAAAACTAAAGCTAGATCCTTATATATCACCCTGCAAGTCCAAATGGATCAAAGACCTTGGAGTCAAAGAAGACACCTTGAAAACATTACAGGATGGAATAGGAGAAACCCTAGGTCTTCTTGGCACAGGCCGAAATTTCCTTAATAGAAACCCAGAAAAACAACAAATCAAAGAAAGGTTGGACAAATGGGATTGCATGAAATTGCAGAGCTTCTGAATGGCAAAGGAAATAGTTAGCAAGATCAATATAAAGCCCATGGATTGGGAGATCTTCACTAACCATACAACAGACAAGGGTCACATATCTAAAATATACTTGGAACTCAAAAAATAAAATCCCCCAACAACAAATCCTCAAAGAAACAACTGTCTAAGTGGGCTATAGACTTAAATAGAAACTTCTCTGAAGAGGAAATAAGAATGGCCAATAGACACATGAAGAAATGCTCAACCTCTCCAGCCATAAAAGAAATGCAAATCAAAATAACATTGAAATTCCACCTCACCTCAGTTAGAATGGCTATAATCAAGAACTCTAATAACAACAGATGCTGGAGGGGATGTGGACAGAAGGAACCTTACTGCATTGTTGGTGGGAGTGTAAACTTGTTCAACCACTTTGGAAAGTAATATGGAGGTTCCTCAAAAAACCTCACATAGAGCTCCCCTATGACCCAGCAATCCCACTTTTGGGCATTTACCCGAATGATCACAAATAAGACCATACTAAAGCTATCAGCACAACTATGTTTATTGCAGCATTATTTACCATAGTTAAGAAATGGAACCAACCCAGATGCCCCTCAGTAGAATGGATCAAGAAAATGTGGTATATATACACAATGGAATTCTAATCCTCCATCAGAATGAAAATAATAATTCTTGCACTTTTCTTCTACTTTAAAAGTTTAACAAATTTGTGTCTTACATGTTTATACTCAGATGCATTTTTACTTTGTTATCATTTTGCCATGTTGATTCCCAGTATTTTAGTTACTAATTCAGCCTCTATAAACCTTCCAACACATTCTCTAACAACGGTGATGCTCACTCATGCTCAGCATAGGTGATTGTGCATGCTCACCTGCAAGCTCTCTGGCAGCAAAATTCTGCTTCATAAGCAAGGAATAGCAACCATTATAGCCAGAATTTGCAGAAATATTTGCCTGAAGTATTTATTATCTTCTTTCATCTCCACAGATGCATTGTTCATGCATGGGTGTGAACGAGATAGATCACATAATTAGATGTTCAAGATAATGAGATGCTAAAGATGACGTACGTGTGTCTCTCTGCTTGTTTGAGGCAAGAACAGCTCATTTGCAAGTAATCCAGTCTGTTTGATGCTGAACCTGGATGTTCCCCTAAGGAGCTGAGAGGAGAGGGCAGCCAGTATACTGTTTCTAGAGCTGCTGCTTGTGTGTCACTGTACAAACCTTGTCTGTCCCTTCCTTTCCATTGGGAAGGCAGAGGTGATGACAGCATTGGGTGCATGTGTGGTCACAGACAGACTGTGAAAGTAAATAAAAATTGAGCCCATGGACAATGCCTGGACCAGAAAAGTCACTAGAAGACTGGTGTAATGTGACCTAATTGTTCAGGGTTACTCATGTTCCCACAAAAGAATAAGTGGATAGGATCTTCCAGGATACTCTGCCTGAAGTAATTGTGCCTGGCCTGCCATGGGAAAGGACAATGCTGGGTGGCTTTTACTAACAGAAATTTACAGTCTCATAGTCCTGAAGACTGCAAGTCTAAAATAAGATTGTAGCAGAGACAGCTTTTATCTCACTGCATTGTCCTGCCCATCTGCTTTCTTTGTGTTTTTCTGTCCTAGTCTCCGTATTTTCTTTTTGTGTATGCGCTGATACTGGGGCTTAAACTCAGGGCTTTATTTTCTTGCCTGGCATTTTTTAAAAACATTTTTTTGGCTCAAGTCTGGTCACAGCTCTACTTCCAGCTTTTTGCTGGTTAATTGGAAGTATGTTTTCCTGCCCAGGCTGGCCTCAAACCATGATTCTCAGGTCTCAGTCTCTTGAGTGGCTAGAATTATAGGTGTGAATTCCTGGCATCCAGCTCTAGTCTCCTTTTTTTTTTTTTTTTTTTTTTTTAAAAAAAAGAACATCAGCCATATTAGATCAAGGCTCACCAATGACATCATTTTGTATTAACTACCACTTTAAAAACTGTCTTACCAAAGCCAGTCACATTCTGAACTCTACTGTAAGTTTAGAGTTCAACAAATCAATCTGTAACTAGTGGTCAAAACCAGACCCAATAACAGTCCATAGATGAAGGACTATGTCCTTCATTAGATTAGATGTTCTTTGATGAGAATGTATAAGTGTTTACATGGCTCTCTTCTGCTTAATGCTCAAAGTACTGAATTAGTCTTCATGTAGGCCTTTAAAAATTCCATTTTCTTAAAGAATTCAAGCTTGTAGTTAAGTTGTATTCATCAGACTTAGGCTAGGCTAGATATATTAAAGAAAAATGGCAAGTGCAATAATTAAATCTGCTTTCATTTTGACATATAATAAAGGGAAAAATGATTGCTAAGTGGACTGAAATGAATTTAGAGAAGACATTGGAGGAATATTAATATGTTTCATATGGAAATGTTAGCAATATGAATTATTCTTCTTTGTAGGAGTTTTAATTGATTTGCTCTTTCATGTATTTCATATTCTTTCTCTTATCTAGAACTCCATGCAAACATCAAAGATAGGCGAAGAGAGTGGGGATAGGAAGCAGGCACAAGGTTTACTCTGGGAAATATGCAGCAATTATTCACTCAGGCTTATGCAGCATTTGTGAAGATGTTTTTGGGGGACATCAATGTGAGGGGTCCTAGCAGATGGTCTTGGCTCAAGCCATTCAGGGAGAATGAGGGCTCCCAAGGTAATACTGGTTTGTGAACAGCTTCACATTGAAAGTATTAACACCAAATTACTTTTCTGCTGGGCTCTGGTGGCTCATGCCTGCAATCCTAGCTACTCAGGAGTCTGAGATCTGAGGACTGTGGTTCAAAGCCAGCCTGGGCAGGAAAGTCCCTGAGACTCTTATCTCCAGTGAACTACCAGAAAACTAGAAGTAAGTGGTGTTGTGGCTCAAAGTGGTAGATTGCTAGCTCTGTGCAAAAGAGCTCAGGGACCATGCCTAGGCAAGCCCCATGACCAACAAAAATAAAATAAAAATAAAACTATCTTTCACACGAAATCATTAAGGTAGTCTATTACAGAATTTTAGTTACATAGAAAAGTCATTATAATTAATTTTAATTCTGTTTTATTTGTATCTCATTCATTAGGAACTTTTGGTTTACAGAAGCCCTGGTATTTCCCCTTTACGGCATCCTATTGGAAGAATATATGTGGTTTGGTGGAGAAACAGCAGCATTTTCTAAGTTCTAGTTTGTTCTTCTCCAGTGAAAACTTTGGCAACAAAGGTTTGTAGAAAGTAGTATGATTGGATGTATATTTTTTTCTGGTCAGTTTTGATTTTTGATTTTCATTTCTTGGAAGCCTTTATAACTCTGTACCAATTCTTAGAGATGCATTTTCCAGGTATCTTGGGCCAAGAAATAAAATAGGGTTATGCTGTGAGACATTGCTTCTTGGTAATGTTTAGTAGGAACTGCAGAATGGTCACAGTGCTTATTTTAACGATAAACCCTCTAAGTATTGTTTACATTTGTGCATGTATTATAATTTAGTAAACTGAAATGCCAATCCAAAAATAAGTAGGCGCAAAGAAAATAAAACAAAGGTAGTTAGCTACCAGGTGAACTCTAAACTTCTTAGGGCATTGCCACACATACCAGTTTAGGTGCTGCTTTTGTGAGAGACACTTCTGCTTACAAATGTTGACCAGTCTCAGGATGTAGAAAGACATTCAGGAGATGTGTGTCTCCGGCGGCCCCTTGTCCCCTGCCCCCACCCTCCAACCCCATGGGCCAGACATAGGGGCAACTGAACATTTGATGGGTGAGCAAGCTCTTGTCATGGTGGTTTTAGAACAGGAGTTAGAAATTACAAGTAAACTATGAATGTTTTAGCAAAGTTAGAACACACCAACTCTAACCTCAGGAGAGTATGGGTTATGTATGTTTGTGGTATAATGAACCTGATGGTTATTTTCTATCTGCATCTACACAAATCCACATTTGTGTCTTTATCTTTATTACTTTATACACTTTTTCTCCTACCATGAGGATTTAGAGCTTTGTCATCATGGGTCTCACTTAAGTTTTGCTAATATATAATTTGCTCCTTGCTTTTGGTAAGGAGAGATTTGTGTTTGGCATGTTTCACAGAGAATTTTAAGGGGGGAAATGGGTTGATTTCAATGTCTTTTCACAGAGAATTTACATGTTCTGTACAGGGGCAACACACCAAAACAAGGCAGGAGAAGTTGAAGGAGACCTCCCTGGAGTTAGCCTGGTTTCTGTGAACAAGGAATATGAAGGCCACAGATTGGCTGTTCAAGACCTCACCCTTACCTTCCACAGAGGCCAGATCACTGCCCTGCTGGGAACCAATGGTGCTGGGAAAACCACCATCATGTGAGTCCCAATTTCCTCCCCTTCCCTTGGCGCTTAGCAGTGTCAGTTGAAATGTCAGGGATGTGGAGGTCTCATTTCTTCTGTCATTTCTCCGTCTGCTCTTTGTTCCCATCACACCCCTCCCTTCATTTGCCTGCCCCTTCTTCACTTCTCCCATTTTCTTTCTTTCTCCTCCCCACTTCCTCTGTTCCCCTCCCCTTCTTCCCCTTCTCTCTGACTCTCCTCCCATCTCTACTTAGATCTGCCCATCTACTCCCCTCCCATCCTTCCTCCCCTCTCTGCCCCCACCCCTCTTTCCTCTCTCCTCCACTCTCCTCCTCTCTTGTCCTTCCTCCTGGTCCTGTGTCCCCCCAACTCTGTCTCTTTCCTCTTCCCTTCTCTCCTCTCCTTTCCCCTCTCTTCTCTCTTCTTTTCAGTCCCCTTCCCCTCCCTTCAGCCCTCCATTCCTCCCCTCCCCTCCCTCCTCCTCACCCTTTCCTCTTCTCTTCCCTGTCCCTCCCCTTTTTCCCTCCCCTCCCTTCCATTCTCTTTTCTTTTTCTCTCTTCTCTTTCTTGCATTCTTACTTTTCTCTCTTTCCACCTCCTCCTCCATTCCGTACCCTGGTGTTTGTTTCTTTTCGTCTCAGAACAGAGTTTATTGATACAGGAGGAAGACAGAATTCTCTCCCTCGAGTTGCCCTTGTCCTCAACTATCCAGATAGATTTTAGGTCTAAGTAGATTTTGAGTGCAGGCATGGGTTGATATTTTGCTTTACTATTCAAATAATTCACATGATGTTTAGTCTTTGAGAGTTCTTTTTGACCCTGTTAGTTTTTGTCTTATGAAGTTTAATTTTACTTTTATATCTATAGGAACATAAAAAGATGAATATTAAAAAAATTAAACTACATTTTTCATGTTTTTGTTTGTCTGATTATTGTCTTGGTATTTGGTTTAGGACCCAGTAGGTCCAGATTTGATTAAATAATCCAATCATAGGACTCTAGAGAAACAATGAGTTGAAAATTTCATGGCCTTCAGCTGGTTGTGGAAGCTGCACTCTGTTTATGGGCGATCCACCGTAATTATAGAGTATCTCTTTAGAGCAAGTCATTTTTAATTCTTGCTTGTGTCATCAGGAAATATTTAAGATTAATGTATAATTAGTGTAAGCAATAAAAAGATCATTGTCTCAAATCTTACTAAGAAAGGTAGAAAAATAGAAAATGACAGCAATTTCATATTGGAAAGAAATAGGAGGAAAACATAAAAGGAATGCTTTTCTTCTTTCCTGGATGCTAAAATAGAACCAAAAACCTCCTGAAGCATTCCATTAGTGTTGCAAGTTCTAAATGCGCATGTAATAACTCAATCAGCATTCTACATCCTTCTTTTACTAATACACATTTCTTACCTGGGAAAAATAGAGTTACTTATCTAGCAGAATAGTAAGTACCGAATTTGAGTTTCTTGATTTTTCAAGTTTTACTGAATATGTTTTGCTTTCAGTGTATGTTTGAAGTTCCTTTTGAATCATCTTAAGTGCTCTGTCTTACTGCAGTGCTTAGAGTCTGAAAGGTCAATTAATGAATTGGATCTTTACTATTTCAAACAATAATCACTGAGACTCATACATAGCATGTACCATCAGCCATCTGTGTCCACAGGCTCTACATTCAGACTTATTCAATATAAGATCAAAAATATTTGAAAAAGCATGGCATCTGCATTGAACATGTTCAAAATTTGCTTAACGGTATTCCTTAAACAATACAATATGCCCACTACTTACATAGCATTTACATTATATTAGGTATGATAAGTCATCTATTGATGATTTAAAGTATATGGATTATTTGTATAGACTATAGGTAAATACCATGTTTTATAAGATAATTGAACATCTGAGGAGTTTGGTATCTTGCAACCAGCCCCCAAGGATATCAAGAAACAAATGTTTAGACTTTTTTGTACTTACTCACAAATGTAGTTTTTTTTAAAAAAATAGTACAGCAAATAGCTGCTACTCATGCTTACGAAGGTATAATTCTTTTTTTTTTTTAATTTAATTTAATTTTATTTGTGAACATACTGTACAGAGGAGTTACAGTTACTTGGGCAGGATAATGCGTACATTTCTTACCAAGCATTGCAGCCTCCTCCTTTGTTTACCCTTCACATCCCTTCCCAGCCTCCCCCCTCTCCCCCTAATCCCAATCCTTCTCCTTCCCCCCCTCACCCCCCCCCCCCCCCGCACTAACGTTGTAAAGCTCGTTTTGGACATGACAACTTGTACTTCTCATTGTTGCAACAGGTCCACCTGTATCCTTAAACAACTGGTTTTTCCCCATCTCCTCCACAAGTTATACTGACATCAAATATAGTGAAAGCAGGGGTTATACTGTGGGGGAGGGACATACAAAGCAACAAAGAGATAATCTTATAAATGTGTTAGAAACACATGCATGAAAGAAAAAAACATTAAAATACACATCTAAGGGTTCATTTTCCTGACATCACATTATCTGACCTTTTCCGCTTGACTCGTACATATACTAGATATTACAAATAAGGGAAACCATGGGACCTACGTTTCTTTGGGCCTGGCTTACTTCACTTAATATAATTTTTTCCAAGTTTTTCCATTTCCTAACAAATGGGGCAATGTCATTCTTTCTGATGGAGGCATAGAATTCCATTGTGTATATATACCACATTTTCTTGATCCATTCATCTACTGAGGGGCATCTGGGTTGGTTCCATATCTTAGCTATGGTAAATAATGCTGCAATAAACATAGTTGTGCTGGTAGCTTTAGTGTGGTCTTGTTTGTAAACATTAGGGTAAATGCCCAAAAGTGGGATTGCTGGGTCATAGGGGAGCTCTATGTGAAGTCTTTTGAGGAACCTCCATACTGCTTTCCAAAGTGGTTGAACAAGTTTACATTCCCACCAACAATGAAGTAAGGTTCCTTTCTGTCCACATCCCCTCCAGCATCTGTTGTTGTTAGAGTTCTTGATTTTTGCCGTTCTAACTGGAGTGAGGTGATATCTCAAAGTTGTTTTGATTTGCATTTCTTTTATGGCTAGGGATGTTGAACATTTCTTCATGTGTCTATTGGCCATCCTTCTTTCTTCTTCAGAGAAGTTTCTCTTTAAGTCTTTCGCCCACTTATTTATTGGGCAGTTGTTTCTTTGAGGATTTGTTGTTGGGGGGTTTAATTTTTTGAGTTCCAAGTATATTTTAGATATGAGACCCTTGTCCGTTGTATGGCTAGTAAAGATCTTCTCCCAGTCCGTGGGCTTTCTATTGATCTTGCTAGCTATGTCATTTGCCCTGCAGAAGCTCTGCAACTTTATGCAATCCCATTTGTCCAACCTTTCTTTGATTTGTTGTGTTTCCGGGTCTCTATTCAGAAAATTTCGACCTGAGCCAAGGAGACCTAGGGTTTCTCCTATTCCATCCTGTAATGTTTTCAGAGTGTCTGCTTTGAGTTCAAGGTCTTTGATCCATTTGGAGTTGATTCTGGTGCAGGGTGATATATAAGGATCTAGCTTAAGTTTTCTACATGTAGTTAACCAATTTTGCCAGCACCATTTACTGAAGAGGTTGTCTTTCTTCCATTCTATTGTTTTAGCTCCCTTATCAAAGATTAGATGGCTATAGGTCTGTAGGTTCATTTCTGGGTTTTCAATTCTATTCCATTGGTCCTGAGGTCTGTTCTTATGCCAATACCAAGCTGTTTTGATTACTATGGCTTTATAGTAGAGTTTGAAGTTTGGTATTGATATTCCTCCAGCAGTGTTCTTTCCATTCAGGAGCGTTTTTGCTATTCGAGGTCTTTTATTGTTCCATATGAATTTTTGGATTGCCTCTTCTATTTCCTTGAAGAATGAGGTTGGAATTTTGGTAGGTATTGCGTTGAATTTGTAGATAGCCTTGGGAAGTATTGCCATTTTCACGATGTTAATCTTTCCAATCCAGGAGCATGGGAGGTTTTGCCATTTTTTAAGTTCTGTGTTGATTTCCTTTTTCAAGATTTTAAAGTTTTCATCATAGAGGTCCTTCACTTCTTTAGTTAAGTTAATTCCTAGGTATTTTATTTTTTGTGGGGCTATTACAAATGGAGTTGCTTTCCTAATTTCAGCCACACTTTTCTCATTGTTGGCATACAGAAAAGCCATTGATTTTTGGGGGTTAATTTTATAACCTGCTACTTTGCCAAAGTTTTGAATCAGCTTGAGTAATTTGGGAGTGGAGTCTATGGGATTCTTTAAATACAAGATCATGTCATCTGCAAAGAGGGAGAGTTTTATTTCTTCTTTCCCTATTTGGATCCCCTTTATGTCTGCATCTTGTCTTATTGCTGTAGCTAGGCATTCTAACGGAGGTATATTTTGAGTGGTGAACTATCCCTTGTCTGTGTGCAGTTTGAGGTTGGCACATTTGACTAATGCTAGACCAAGCATCACAGTGAAGATTAGGAACATTTGCCTTTTCAGTATTTCCTATATTCTTCTGGCCTCCAAGTAGTCACTGATCTATAATTTGTCACTGTGAATTAGCTTGTATATTCTAGAAACTTATGGTAATGGAATCATGCTTGGCTTCTACTATTCACCTCGTTTATCTGTAGTTTAAGTCTAGCAGCAGAGTGGTCTCTTTTGAAAGCTAAGTGGTATTCCATTATATAGAGAGAGCCTTTGTATTATACACAGAGAGATATTTTCATCTCCTGATGTTAATTGAGGCTGTTGCCAGTTTTCAGTGATTGTGAATAAAGCTACTATAAACATTCATATATCCACCTTTGTACTGGCATACTATGAACTGTACACACCTTTGTTTTGGCATACCTTTTAATCTTTCTTGTATAAATACTTAGGAGTGGATTATCTAGGCCCTATGGTAGGTGTATGTTTACCTGTTTTGAAATAAGTTTAAAATCGACACAATAAATTCATTAAGGAATAGAACTAGACAATTCTCAGGTTTGTTTTTGTGAAGTCACATGAGTGAGTTTCTGGTGACTGGCCCCTTGACATGGTTTTGGCTGGAACAGATAGCCTGGGGATGCAGAGAAAAGATAGGCTACAGGTTGAGAGTCTAGATTGGCATTAGTGATTTTTTTCTTTTGTGGTTGTTTTTGATTTCATGTAGGCTCTCAGGGCCTGGATGCTATCCCATATTAACTTTTGCACTCCAGGCTGGTGCTCTACTACTAAAGCCATAACTCATCTCTCATTGGAGAGAAGAGTCTCACAGACTTTCCTGCCTGGGCCGATTTTGAACTGTAATCCTTAGATCTTAGTCTCCTGAGCTGCTAGGATTACAGGTGTGAGCTTGGACTCCTGAAGACATTTCTGTTATCTTACATTGGTAGGAGAAGTTCTGTACATGTGTCAATCGTTTAGGTTGTTTACTCCACTATAAACATATACTTAGGTTGTTACCTGAAACTGTGACACAACTTTAGGGATCTATGACCGCAGAGTTTTCCCTGGGATTTAGACACTATTCTGAACCCACATTTCCAAGACTCACCAGCTAACATTTATATAAACTCCTCACAGTTTATAATTGACCTTGTAAAAAGCAGAACAGTAAAAGAGGTGTCATTTCTGTAGGATGTATGTGCCACTCTGGATCACTAACAGTCACAGAAGGTAATTTATGCTAATCTGTTTTCTCTGGCAGATCTATGTTGACAGGCCTCTACCCTCCCACCTCTGGAACTATCTTGGTCAATGGCAAGAACCTGCAGACAGACCTGTCCCGAATAAGAATGGAGCTGGGGGTATGTCCTCAGCGGGACGTTCTTCTGGACAACCTCACTGTCAGAGAACACCTGCTGCTCTTTGCTTCGATAAAGGCACCGTGGTGGACCTCCAAGGAACTACAGCAGCAAGTCAATAAGTTAGTAACGTGTGATTGCCTTGTTCCTTCTGCCTTTGCCCCATGGTATAAGTGAAGACCACAAGTGCCTGTGTAGCCAGGCACTGTTGGCTTAAACCTGTAATCCTACTTACTCAGGAGGCTGAGATCTGAGGATTGCAGTTCTAAACCAGCCCAGGCACAGAAGTTTGTGTGACTCTTATCTTCATTTAACTACCCAAAAAAAGCAGGAAGTGGAGCTGTAGCTCAAGTGGTAGAGTGCTAGCCTTGAGAGAAAGAAATCTTAGAGACAATACCCAGGCCTTGAGTTCAAGTCTCAAGATGGGCGCACACACACACACACACACACACACACACACACACACACACACACACACACACACACACGTTATCGACTGCTATATTTATGAGAAGAAAACAAAAGCAAATGGTTCTTAACCTTGAAATTATGAATTAGCAAGACCCTTTGGGAAAGTCAGAGAAGGCATGTCCTAGAAAGATACTAAATTTAATTTCATTTTTCTTGGAGGTAGGAAAGAGCTAAGTCAATGCAGAAAGTATGGTAGGGCTGTTGGTAGAAATTTTGTGTGTCAGGGGAAAAGAGATGCTATGGTTGTCATGAAATAGGGAGAATTATATTAAGTGAAATAAGTCAGGCTCAGAGAGACCAAGGACACATGCTTTCTCTCACACATGGAAGTCAGATCTAATTTATAAATATACAAGTAAATACCTACTGGGATTGTATGCAAGTGTACACAAATATATTAACTGAAGTATGGTAATGCAGGGGAGAAGTCAAATGATGTATTTCACTTACAACCCAACAAAATGAATATCATGAAGCTGGTACTTGAGATGTGTGTTGGTGATGTGGGAGGGGGGAGCAAAACAGATGGTAAGAAACACAACGAATCAAAGAAAGGTTGGACAAATGGGATTGCATGAAATTGCAGAGCTTCTGCATGGCAGAGGACATAGCTAGCAAGATCAATAGAAAGCCCACAAATTGGGAGATCTTCACTAGCCATACAACAGACAAGGGTCTCATATCTAAAGTATACCTGGAACTCAAAAAATTAAATCCCCCAACAACAGATCCTCAAAGAAACAACTGCCCAATAAATAAGTGGGCTATAGACTTAAATAGAAACTTCTCTGAAGAGGAAATAAGAATGGCCAATAGACACATGAAGAAATGCTCAACCTCTCTAGCCATAAAAGAAATGCAAATCAAAACAACATTGAGATACCACTTCACCCCAGTTAGAATAACTATAATCAAGAAATCTAATAACAGAAGCTGGAGGGGATGTGGACAGAAGGGAACCCTACTACACTGTTGGTGAGAGTGTAAACTTGTTCAACCACTTTGGAAAGTAGTATGGAGGTTCCTCAAAAGACTCTACATAGAGCTCCCTATGACCCAGCAATCCTACTTTTGGGCATTTACTCAAATGATCACAGACAAGACCATACTAAAACTACCAGCACAACTATGTTTATTGCAGCATTATTTACCATAGCTAAGAAATGGAACCAACCCAGATGCCCCTCAGTAGATGAATGGATCAAGAAAATGTGATACACACACACACACACACACACACACACACACACACACACACACACATACAATGGAATTCTATGCCTCCATCAGAAAGAATGACATTGACCCATTTGTTAGGAAATGGAAAGACTTGAAAAAATTATGTGAAGTAAGCCAGGCCCAAAGAAACATAGGTCCCATGGTTTCCCTTATTTGCAATAACTGGTATATTTCTGAGACAAGTAGAAAAGGTCAGATAAAATGATGTTAAGCGAAATGAACCCCAAGATAGGGACACAAGTGTTTTTTTTTTCTTTCTTGCTATTGTTTCTAACATATTTATATGGTACCATGTGATTTTTTTGTTTTGTTTTTTTTTTTTTTTGGGTCCGGTCGTGGGCCTGAACTCTGAGCCTGAGCACTGCCCCTCAGCTCTTCAGCTCAAGGCTAGCACTCTACCACTTGAGCCACAGCATCACTTCTGGCTTGTTTTTTTGCTTATGGGTGCCTCAAGTGTGCAAGGCCAGCGCTTTACCACTGAGCCACCTTCCCAGCCCTCCATGTGATTATTTTTGATGCTTTCCCCATGGTTTAACCCTCGTTTTCACTGTATTTGATGCTGGTATAATTTGGAGAGGGGAAGGGAAAAAACAAATTGTTTAAGTAGGGATACAGGTGGAGCCATTGCAAAAATGAGATGCTATGTTGAAAAATGAACTTTACCATTTAGGCAGGGTGAGGGGAGTATAGTTGTGGAGATGGGAGGGAAGGGATGGTAGAGGAAAAACAAAGGAGGAGGCAACAATTCTTGATAAGAAATGTACTCATTACCTTGCTGATGTAGTTGTAATCCCTCTGTACAGTATTTTCACAATAAAATCTTACTAAACAAGGGGGGTTATAGACAAAGGAAGAGAGGAATGGCGGAGAATGCCATCATAATATTCACTGCATAACCTATGAAACTAGGAAAACTGAGGGGAAGGGAAATGGTTAGGAGGGAAGGGAGAGGATGATGAAAGGCATTACATTAATTATGATGTATTGCACTTAGAAACTGACATATCAAATGTTTACCCCTTTGTACAACTACTTAAAGATAATAACGAAAGAAAAGAAACAGAAAGAAAAAGTCAGGCAGGATAGCTGATCGTAAAGACCTCATGCTGAGGAGTTGGAACTTTATCACACAGGCAGGTACAGTAAGGGGCTATGATTGCTCTGTGGTCTTTAAGATAAAAATCTTGTATCACAGCAGGTGGCAGAGCCACAGTGTGGCTGGACACACAGAGGCCACGGCCCACATTATTGGCTTCTTCATCACCACCAGCAGAGGGGAAGGGAGCCCTCAGCATAATTCTGGGACAAGAGGTGCAAGAATAGAAGTCTATGTCGTGGGCCACATTACACTGTGAAGAGTACTCTGTGTTGATAATGCAAAGATTGTGGAGCCTAGGTGGAAAGAAGGGGGCATGATGAGGACCCATTGGTCCTCATCCGTGGGCTGGGGCTGATACAGAAAATTAGCTTTATACTAGTGAGCAGAAGAGATTCAAGGCCACAAGAAGATATTGAAGGGACGATCATGTGGTTGGTGAGTTTCTCTCTCCTGAAAGATGGAAAGTCAGTCTCCAGTTTTCAGATGAGGCAGCAAAGGCTCAGGGAGCTGGGGGCAATGCAGCTCAAGCAGGGGTGAAGATCTGACTTAGGACTCTCCGATGTGCAGTGTGCATGCTGGCGTTTCCTTCAGGATGAGTACTGTTTGCCTGTGTGAGATGAATGGAGGCCTCTAGGAAGTTGAGATGTGCTGGGAAAAGGAAGAGGAGTTTTTAAGCACATTTTTAAGTTTTGTTGCCACCAATATTGTCAAGCGTAGAGTTGGCATCTATCAGGGGGTTCCATTAGTTTTGAGAAGTGAAAGTGTTTTGTTACCAATTGCTCGCTTTGATTCTACTAAATGCCTGTAACATGAGCTTAAAAAGGCACTCTTGTGGTCATGGTTTGCAAACTCCTACGTACCACAAGAAATTGCATGGAGAAAAAGAAATTATGTCTTCTTATTGAAACTGCCTGTGGAGTGTTGGTCTCTGTAAGACTCTCACCTGAATAAGTTCACCTTACTGAGAAATCTACTTACCTGTATGAAAGCTTATAGGGACAGTGATATAGGAGTTCTTTTGTTAGACATAAACCACACAAACAAACAAAAAGATCACACTGCCTAAATCTGGTAGAGACACATATTCCTGAGGGACAGGAAGTTAAGAAAGAACATCAGGTACAAAACACACGTGGGTCACCCTGACAATCCCTTAGTGGAAAACAGCGCTGGAAAATGACAAACGGCTTCTCCAGAAATGCTCTGCTGCATCACAGCTTTATCTTTCCATGTCTGGAAGAGATCAGTCAGTATTTGTTTATTTGATCTCAATTTGAAATAGGTGGCTGGGTTTAGACACCAGCTATGACAGGTGTACATGTAGACAAATCAAATGTCTCCCTGGACAGATGCTCACACTGTGAGGGTCAAATGCAAATTAAATCTGGACTCAGAGAAAAAAGAATCCTCAAAGGACAGGGGCCATTGTGTAGAGAGGTGTTTATACCACAAAGTTTTATTAAATAGTCCTTTCATTGTTTGCCTGTCTCAAAGTACACCTTATCAGCAAGTTATGAAAGCATCTCCTACTACAGGGTGGGCTAATTTGTATTTTATGGTATCTTGACAAATGGCTGATAATATAATAATAATAATAATAACATAAATGCAGTAGATTCTCAAATATATAGGGAACATGTTTTACTTTCTACTACTTAAATGTATCCTATCTTTCAGTGGGTACTTAATATATAACATCTAGGTACTGTAGCTGTCTACAGATTACTAGATAGTAAATTAGCTATGCACCATCTAATTTCTTCTATGAAAAAGTCACAGGTCACCTGTATTTAATTTAAAAATGGTGTTATAGTGAACTCTGGTGACTGTGACTGGGGTTTCCATCAAGCACCTAACAATGCTACATTGACTTCAACTTCTTATTTGTGTGCCAGGCAACCTTAATGGTTATCAGTTCATAGTGTGTTACCTAGCAACCAAGCCAATTTGCACAAAAGCAATCAGAACAGGATCATGTTTTAGGACAGTAGTTCTCAATTAGAGAGAGGGAAAACTGCAAACATCTGATTTGGAGTCAACATGCTTCTTATTAGTGTCCTGTAGGAGTGCTTGTTTTACTTAATGTCTGGCTTCATTAAAATTTGACTTCAAAGGAGGCGATGGATCTGAGAATCTTTAGTTAAGAGACAGATCGTGACTACTTTTCCTTTAATTTGGCTTAGAGAAAACAAGAGAAGTCAAGAGTGGAATGTCCTCCGTCTTAGAGTGTAGAAGTTGTTATGTATTTAATGTTGCCATATAGAATTCTGAGATACATCATAGAACTTCAATTAGGTTGGGTTCAAATTGGCATGGTAGTAACAAGATTAGTTTATGTAGAAGGGGGAGGGGATGATGGATGGATTGAACCCTGGATGCACCAACGTGATGATGAGATGAGATGACATTGTTACGTACATGAAGGACCATGAAAAATGGACTTTCGTGCAATTAAGTGATTGCTGAGAAAATAGATTTGGTCCACAGATGATGCATAGATAACATTGAGAACTCAGGGGGACTTGTGGTTTGTGAAAATAATCAGGTGTATGACAAATCTTGGCTGGGAGTAATGAAGCGAGTGGAGGGGATAGGATGATGGCTACATTGGCCATTAAAACCCCTACTATTGCATATAAGAATCAAACTCGAGAGAGGGACAGTACACAGAGGCAGATTAAAGGTTTGGTGGGTGCCAGCAGCAACAAGGGTAGTGGATAGTTGGCCTGATCACCTGGGGTCCAATGTTGGGAATTTTAGAGCTGGTGAAGAAAGATGTACTAAAAGTGATTATAAGGTATGATGGGCTTCCTGCTCTGCATTTAGACCTTGTAAAGGAAGCAGGAAGCAGCAGCAGTCATATGAAGAGGACTTGTGATGAGTATATGTTTTGGGTAAAACCCAAAAGACAGTCATGTCTTATCTGAGGTTACTGTGTATTATTCCTTATTTTTTTGTCCCAGATATGTTTTTTTAATTATCAAGAAGATGTACAGAGGGGTTACAGTTATGTAAGTAAGGTAACAGGTACATTTCTTGTCAAACTTGTTGCCTCTTCCCTCATTTTCTTCTACCTTACCTTCCCCCAACCCCACCCCCGAAGTTGTACAAATCATTCCAACATATTGCTTGTGTATATTGCTTTTGCGTTGGTTTCCCCCTTGTCCTTTGACTTACTATTCTGTTGTATTCTTGCTTTTACTTCAAGAACAGATTCTTTTGTCTTGTATATATGTATCTTAATTTTCCCCCTAAATCCTAGAAATTATTTTTTACTTTTCCTTGAACCCACTGCTCAACATCTCCCTTTTACAAGTCCCACTATACATCTAGCTAACGTCTTATATTATTTTTCTTTGAAATCAGAACACTTGAATCTTTACCACTACTGGTACATTTCTCATTACTGTTACTTTTCTTGTATTTTATTTTCATTTCTTGTCACTGAGATTTTAGAATCACAGACAAATTTATTTCTCTGGCCTTATCAGGTTGTAGGTGTTACACATTTCAGTGGTTAAGTAAACATTTTAAAATAAATGAATGGATAACAGAAGAGAAGTATTTAAAATGTTGCCTACCACATAATTGGGACTTATTATGGAAAAAAAATATTTCCTCTTTCCACTACTGCCTAGCAATGTTGTTAATTAGAGAGATTTCCTGGCTCTTTTAGAAGGAATTTGGAAATTCAAATTCAAAGAAATAGTTTTCTCTGTTTTGGTACATTATAGAGCAATGGTTAGAAATACATGAGCCCTTACCTAGCCCTGGACTTTACAGAAAAATTAAACAACTAAAAACATTGGCCAATGCTTGTGAATTGACTTCTCTAATCTTAAGTCCAGTTCAAGCATCTGAACCTAATTTTACACCAGAGTTTACTTCCTGCCCACACAGTTTTGCCATTCCCAGACATTTCAGGAGCTCAGGATCCTCGTGACACAGTCTTCCCTAGAGAACTAATCAAGTCTTCTGACTCCATTAACATTGAATAAAATGTCATGCCTACAAGTGAACATCATCAGGATCCATCTACACTTGGTTCCAGGCTAACAGATGTTAAGATAAAGGCTTTGAGTGGTATGAATGGAAGAAACACAAAGAGGAAGGACTTGTTTGATTTAGAAATGCAAGTTTGACAACATTTGACAAGTTACAGAATTCTTTTCTTATCTGTTTTCCTTCCTTCCTGACTGATTTCTGATTAATGTGTACAAGTTGGGCTTCATGGATTCATGCCACCTGTTGTATTGGATCATCAACGTGAAGGGGCATTGGCAGTTATAGGGTCAAAGCAGCTATCTGATGGAAATAAACCATCGGTCCTTCTCCTTTTGATTTGGATGCTTGTTTCCAATGGGCACACTTGAAAAGAGGATGTAGATTATTGCTATGTGTTTAGCTTGCTGAGATTCAAGCAGTGGGAATACATTCTGATACTTGGACGGACCAAAAAGTGCATAAGAAGCTGGCTTGAACTCTTTTGGGGGTCAGGATAGAAAGTGTAGATATGATAAAACAAACATAACAATGTACTTATTCCCTAGGCAAGGAAAACCTTCAATTCATCCCAATCTTTCTGTAGAATTCTAGAACTGTTCTTGGCCGCAAATATACTTGAAGCTCAACTCTGAGGAACCCTTGTGGTTGCCTTGCTCCTGTCTAGCCCCTTTCCTTTGGACTGAGAGTTGTCCTTTGGTTGTTTGCTGTTGAAAATGAAAAGCAGGCCTGAAGTAGGAGAGGGAAATCCATATGGGCTGAATAATCAGGAGAAGGCTTTGGGGAAGCATGGTCTTAGACAATGTGCAAAATCGAGAGCAGGTGTGGTAGAGAGTCAATATACATGTAGTTGGTATACCGCAGGTCATGTGACACAAAAGAGGATAAATTATATGTGAAAAAAGAGAGTGGATCCAGGGGAGGAGGACAAAGCTTCACACACAGACTCTGTGCTTTCTAGATGTCTGAAATGGCAGAGAGAGAGAGAGAGAGAGAGAGAGAGAGAGAGAGAGTGTAAAATGCTCATTTCATGCTGTGGGTCAAGAGTTAAAAGCTTGCTGGACACTGGAACTTTGCTTCTTCCTACTACATTTCTGCTTCAGTTATTCTAATGATCTCACAGTATAATGCCTAATAGGCTTCAGGTCTAGGTCCCTCTTTGGTAAGAGTATGAGTAAAAAGAGGAGAAATGAAACTCTGGAGAGATGAGACACAACTACTTGGCAGATACCATGACCAGTATCACGCACAACCTGTTTGCTTGCTGTCAGCTGCCCGTGGAGAAGGTCAATAGTGCTACATCAAGGCTCACAGGCATATGTAACACCAGAATCCCTTTGATGTAGCTGGGGTTTATGAGAATCTCCTGCACTGTAAATTATTATGCAAGAAGTGAAATTCACAGTGAAGCTTTCATGTGTTCAGGAAGAAGAGTGACTTTTTTTTTCTGTTTCAGAACTCTTGACAAAGTGGAGTTAACTAAACATCAACACAAATCTATCTGGGCCCTATCTGGAGGCATGAAGAGGAAGCTATCCATTGGCATTGCCTTCATGGGCACATCGAAGACCGTGATTCTGGATGAGCCCACTAGTGGGGTGGATCCTTGCTCCCGTCGCAGCATCTGGGACATTCTGCTCAAGTACCGGGAGGGTAAGAGTTGTCACTCACTGAGCTTTCCCTACTTCAAGTGTTGTGACATGAGAGAAGCTTGGCTCTTGCTGGGTGCTGTTGGCTCATGCCTATAGTTCTTTATTACTTAGGAGTCTGAGATCTGAGGGTCCTGAGGAGGCCAGTCCATGAGGCTATTACCTACAATTAACCACCAAAAAGCCAGAAGTAGAGGTGTGGCTCATGTGGTAGAACTAAATGGCAAAAAAAAAAGCTATGGGGCAATGAGTGCCCAGTCCCTGAGTTCAAGCCCAAATATTGGCACATGCATGCACAAAAATGTATGTAAAGTACCAACTCATAGTCCAACGAGGATAGCTTATCTTTTTCAAAGCAAAATCTCCAGAAGATTACAAGGCATATTTAAATGTTTAAGTGCTCGGAATGGCCTGGATTGTGTTTGATTCATTAACTTGGCATTAGCAAGAACACTATCAATAAATATTATTTTAGATGGTTTCACTTAAAATCATTATTTTCCTCATTCGGTTCCTATTGTCTATTAGAAAGAGAGACATTGGAGATTATTTAGGACAAACCCTCCTTGGTTAGTTAGCTTTATTTTGCTTTGATTAATACTTGAGAAAAACCAACTTCTAAGGAGAAAAAGTTGAGATGGGCTTCATGATTTCAGAGGTTGCAGGGTCCAAGGTAGTTTGGCTGTGTTACTTTGGGCTTGTGGAAGCATAGTACATTATGTGGCAGAAAGATGCTCACTTCATAAACAGGAGGAAGCAAAGAGAGAGACAGGAAGGGGCTGAAGTCCCAGTATCCCTTCTGGGCACATCATTGACTTAACTTCCCTCTAGAAAGGATCCACGTGGTAATGAAGCCACCACTTGATAGCACCACCTACGGTCAACTAAGAATATGGCCCTTTGGGGAACAGGAGAGCCTAACAAATATGAGGCATGGATGGGAAGATGGGTATATGATTGGTTGACCCCTGTAGAAATTTTTCATTAAGTGAAGGAGGAAAGCCACATCTCTGACATACATAGTACCTACTTCTGCTCTTCATTATTACTTACTACAATCGAGAGCCCCAGATGGGCAGCTATTCATTTGTAAGTTCTGACTTCCCATAGTCCAGACAGCAAGGAAGCTATATTTTTTTTTTACAGAAACATTCCTGTCTGGAAAAAAAAATTGTGGACAACATCCCTTGTAGTAAATAGGAGCAGGCATAATAGAGATATGATTAATGAAGAATCCTACAAAATGTTTTGTCTTATTTATTTTGCATTTTGAGTGTAAGACTTTTGTTTTGTTTTGTTTTTAAACTTAGCCTGAAGTCTTCAGTTCCCTGAGGCTGTATCAGAATTTGTTAGTAAAGAAAAGCCAAGAGAAAAAAAGCAAGAAGGACTTTGTCCTAAGTGCAGACAATTGAGATCATTATATTCTTACAGAAGAAAAGATGATGTAGTCTGCAATGAAGTCTATCCATGGGCTAGAATGAGAAGGGACAAGCCTAATAAAAGGATAGCGTAAAGGAACAATTTTGCACTTCTATTTTCATGAGTTTTGAGAAATTACAGAAGAAAACAGAGAAGCAACCAGGGACACTGAGCAAAACAGACATGGTTCCTTTGTCCTATTATGGACTGTGACTTGGGCTGGGCTACTGCACGAGGGAGCCACATGAATGGCGCTGGGTCAGGGCCCAACATGACATCAAGGCCTGGTATGACTGCAATTCCCAGGTTTGTAGGCTTTAGGACTGGAGGTGTCTGACAGATTCGGGGTTGTGTGGCCTGCAGGTGAACATCTAGGGAACACTCTTTGGGGGTTTCTGTGATTCCTTTGGGCTCTGCATCTTTCCCTAAGTCTCCCAGTTCCATTTAAGTGCCCGTTGGGGCCACAGGTAGAGGGGGAAGAAATGACAACATGTGAAGTTTCCATGCAAGATCCTTAATCCCACTTAAAAAGGAATCCATTGCATTTTGAGATATAGCTAATTTAGAAGAGACTAATACTTTCATGCACTCTGTGTAGGGCCTCAGAAAGAAGATAGATGAGAGACAGGCAGATAGATTCTGCTGCTGTGATTCTAATCCTCCTGCTTGTTTTACATCATTGATGCACCCGTAAAGGTTTTGGTGACAGAATGCTTGAGTAATCAGCATAAAGGTTAGTTTTGACAGGAAATAGTGCCAATCTGACAAAATGACAGTTTTTCCCCCAAATTCTGTTGTAACAAATTAGGTATTTCTTCACTGTCCCTTGTTGTTTAGCAATAATTTTTGTTTTTGTCTTTGGAGGACCCCTTTGGAATTGTCCTTGCATTGATTGAAGTTTAAAATCAATAAGGTATAAGTGGGTTAGATAGGAAATACCAAAAGAAAAATATGTCTTCAAAAATCAAAATATATAGCTCTTTCTGCAAACGGTTTCGGCTTCAAGCAACTGATAGCACTTTTTGAGAAAGATCTAAGACTGGAAATAAAAACCAACAAATGTTAGCCACTAAGTAGAAAGAATTTCTTCCATCACAATACCAATGTACCTGGTGCTTTATACACCAAGAATTTCATGTGTGTTTCTTACTTAATGATGAACAGTGCAAAGTGGTTATTTTTGTTTGCTTCTGTTTGAGTCTCATTAAATGGCCCTGATTGGGTTCTAATTTATTTTTTTTATATGAAAACCTTTAATTCCGGGCACCAGTGTCTCATGCCTGTAGTTCTAGCTACTCAGGAGACTGAGGTCTGAGGATTTTGGTTTGAAGCCAGCCCAGGCAGAAAAGTCCATAAGACTTTTGTCTCCAGTTAACTACATAAAGCCAAAAGTGGAGCTGTGGCTCAAGAGATAGAGCACTGGTCTGGACTACAAAAGCTCAGGGGCAGTGCCTAGGCCCAGAGTTCAGGTCCCAGAACAGGCAAAAAAAAATCCATTTAGAAAGTCATGAATGGTAGACTCAAAAGCAACAGCTGCTTTGAGCTTTTCCAAGGAAAGACTGCATGTCTCAATCCTACTATATCTGATGTGTGAAAATGTTATTCCATCATCCTTAACCAAAAGGATCTCCATAAAGCACCATAGCAGTTTCAGACACCTCTATCTTTACATAGGACTTAAAATGTATTGTCATTTCTACAGAGTATAGAAGAGAACTATGCCTCACCTAGATTATATGTTATATATTCAACATAACATAGAATGTACATCAGTATATATTATCATATATAATATACACTATATTATATATACATATGTGTATATCATTCAGACACACATATGCATATCTTCACCTCCATGAAGTGATCAAAATTGTTGAGATCACAGTTACTGGACCTAGAGATTTTATGCATTGCACTTCATTCTTGTCCTTAGGTCATGGCAATTATTCCCTCATGGGAAGAAAGGATAGAGAATGTGCAGAAACATCATACTCCTGACTTTTGGGGAAGCCTTAGAAGAAGAAAGGACACTAGTTTGCTAAATGGCTTTAGTTGAGTCTTTCCCATACTGCCCATTTGGGTGGCTATCTTTCAATGGTAACTCAGATCTTCCATGACAAGTATGGATAGATGGCTTACCTAAGGGCTTTCATCATGCTGGGTTGGATCTGCTCTCTGCTTGAATGCAGGTCGTACGATCATCTTCACGACCCATCATCTGGATGAAGCTGAGATGCTCAGTGACCGTGTGGCCATCCTCCAGCAAGGGAGGCTCAGGTGTTGTGGGCCTCCTTTCTGCTTGAAGGAGGCCTACAGCCAGGGGCTCAGTCTGATGCTCACAAAACAAGTAAGAAATAATTTCTCTTCTTTTCTTGGGGGGGGGGGTAGGGGAGGAATCCCAGTTCTATCTAGTACCTAGCAAACAAATTGTGACAATTGCCTAAAACTAAACTCGCAATGAAGGCTTTTTATGAACAATGCCCAGGTGGCAAAATGAGTGCCCTCTCCCAGAGCTGAGCTATCGGAGCTAGCTTCTATGAATGATAGTACAATTTTTTTATTAGAAGGAAATACAGGAGGAGTTACAAATACAGGAGCAGTGGAAAGAAAGCCATCCTGATGATTCACCTATTCTAGAAATGTTTATTTTGACAATGATACTCTATTTAAGAAGTTAGAATCTTGTCATAAAAGAGCAGTGAAGTCCTAGAGTCAGAGACAATCCAAAAGACCAGATCTCTGCCAGACTTTCATGGATCATTTCCTGGTATTCATGGAGATAAGCAGTTGTTGCTTTGAGGTTGAATTCAGAAACTATGAGAAGAGTCACTTTCTATCTGTTGAAGATGTCTGGTTTTTAGTAAGCCTCAAAAAATCTGACCTGGAAGTGGCGCTGTAACTCAAGTGGTAGAGCATTCGCCTTGAGCTGAAGAGCTGAGGGACAGCACTCAAGCCCAGAGTTCAAACCCCATAACCAAAAATAAAATAAAATAAAATCTGACCTGAAGCTGAGCAGTGATGGCTCATGGCAGAAATCTTTCCTGTTTGGGAGGCTGAGATACTTGGGGCTGTAGTTCAAAGCTTTCTTTTCTGGCTTTCCCTTGAGCTATTCTTTCTGTTTACCTTCTCTCTAGTGGTGAATAGCCTACCATCCTGAAAGGATTTCTTGTTTCTTTGGCTGTGAATCCTTTTCTTGCTTTTAACAAACTTTGTTTTTCTGAACTGCAAATGCTTGAAGATGGTCTGTGATTCCTGCAGTGGTGTGGGGTATGGAAGGTGTCTCCGGAGCACAGATCACTGGTGGCGGGATGCAGTGTAAGATGGACATGGAGTTCTGGACTTACCAAGTTTATTATTATATATTTGTACTTAAAAAAAAGAAATAAGAGAAAGCATATCATGTATCATTGAGGTACTTATTATTCTCACGAAGTATTCTGCCCAAGCTATGATGAGGAATTTTGAGATAATCTGCTTAGGAGCATACACACAACCTACCAATTTGACTTGTTTGCATTGACCTTGCATATTGGTTTCTCAGTTTGTGTTTCCTTTCCTCTAGCCCTCTTTTCTAGAGGCTCATGATGCCAAGGATGTAGCTCGCATTACATCCCTGATACAGGTCTATGTTCCACAAGCAGTTCTCAAAGACAGCAGTGGTGGGGAACTGACTTACACCATCCCGGAGGCTGCAGACAAGACCTGCTTCAAGGGGCTCTTCCAGGCTCTGGATCAGAACTTACAGCAATTACGCCTGACAGGGTATGGGATCTCAGACACCACCTTGGAAGAGGTACTAAGAGATATGAAAGCATGTTTTCAGGGTTGATGTTTTTATTGACCAGTCTGCATTCAGTGAGAAGATAGGGTTAAAAAGAGGGGATAGATGGCAGACATTGTGTTTTTATTGATCCCTGAGTTCTCATTAGTACCAGGCACAGCAGAAGTTAAAAAACTGAATCCAACATATCTGAAAGGGGATTATTGTTTTAGTTAAAAAAAAAAATGTAATTGTATGTGGCTGGGAAGGTGGATCAGTGGTAGAGTGCTTGCCTTACATGCATGAGGCCCTGGGTTTGATTCCTCAGCACCACATAAGCAGAAAAAGCCAGAAGTGGTGCTGTGGCTAAAGTGGTAGAGCACTAGCCTTGAGCTGAAGAGCTGAGGGACAGCGCCCAGGCCCAGAGTTCAGGCCCCACGACCGACCAAAAAAAAAAAAATCATAATTGTATGAGAACTTTGGTGTGATTAACCCCGCTGTTTCAGATATCCAGTTTTCAGTAGTAGCTGGATGGCTGGTTGTGATTCTTCCTTCTTTGGTGCCCACAGTGCTGACCACTTCTGGGTGAGCAGACAGATGCAGAAGAGTCTAATCTGAGCATTAGTTGTGTCTTAGAATGAATGTGGGCCTGAGTATTCATTCTTAGTCCTTTCTGTGATCAGTGGGTACATGTCAGCCTCCTTCACTGATCCTCAGATTCACTGTCAGGGGTTTGACTTAACTCATAGTCAGTTGCAGCCCAAACACAGGAAAATAGGGCAGCACCATCATATCATTTTTTTTTAATGGGGTGCAGTAGTGGAGTTTGTGTTCTGCTGTTGTTCTAACATTTGAGCCACACCTCCAGTCCTGCTTGTTGTTTATTATTCTCAAGACAGAATCTCATAGACTTTTCTGCCTGGGCTGGCTTGAAAGCCTGATCATCTGTATCTAAATCTCCTGAACAGGTAGGATTATAAGCATGAGCTCTGCCACCAGACTCATATAACTTTCATGACAGTGTATTGCTATAGTAGCAATGCTCAGTCATAGGCATGATGCATTTTTATTAGCTACCGTTGTTCATATATTATTGTGTCTAATTTATGAATGAATCACTTTATCATAGGCATGGAAGTATAGAGAAAATAAGCCCAATTGACTCTCTGAATTTTTGGGTTCCACATCTGTGGCTTCAACAAATCACAGTTTGAAAGCACTCAGAAAAAACTTGTATTGTATGGTGCATAGGCAGACTGTTTTCTGAGGGATGGCACCCCTTGATGATGTCTGCACTGATCATAAGGATAGAAGGGGGCTTCTAGCATGCTTGTCATTCACAGCCAAGCAGCTGGAATCTGACTCCACTCCATTGGTAATGCATGTTCTCCCAATAGAACAACTTCCCCATGCCCTTGATTTTAAGTGGGCATCATGAAAAGAGCCACAAAGTGTGATCTGACACTCAGGAAGGTACCTCCATTTCATTTTACATTGTACCTTAGTCCATTTTCCATTGTTTAACAACATGACACTTTTTCTTCAAGTGAGGAATACCCACCAGCCAACCATCTGCTAATAAAGATCATTTGGGTATCAAAAATGCCAATACTCTAAAACCTCACTCATTTTTTCAGGAGTGCTAAATTCAATTTTGGAGTTTCACTGTACCTGATACTAGTCAGATCTCAGTTCTAAGGCTGAGTACCTTTAAGGAGAGCTGTCTGTTCAATTTATGGTTTTAAAGGATGAAGGTCAAAGACTGGTTGAGTCATGGTTGGCATCTGGTGAAGCTACTTTTGCTTTGTCACACATGGCAGATGATATCACATCAGGAATACATTTGAGAGGACACTTGGACAGTCAGGAAACAGCAGGACAGGGAGGGGTCAGGATCACTATTTCATGACAGCCTGTTCTCTTGGGAATTCATGTCCTAGTAGGAGACCCTACTCCTTCTTGCAAGCTAATTTTAATCCTCTGACATGGGAGGTCATGACCCAATCCCTTGGTACTAGGTTCTGCCTCTGAACCATTCTGTGACCTCTCAACCTTACACTGGGTACTAAGTCTCCAGCACATGAATTTGGGAGGGATACGAACTATGTCCAAAGCATAGCACAAGGGCTCATGGGAGTTGTATGAGGAATTGCTGACTATCCTGGGAGGCTCCCCAGAGGTCTACACTATCTGACATAGCATCTCCCTACTGGAAAAGTACCCTCTTCCTGGGCTCCCACACTAAAGCACAGGTGGAGGAGTCAGGAACTGACTGTTCTCTTTCTGTACCCTTTGGTGTCTGCTTTATTATTATTATCATCATCATCATTGTCATCATTATTATTAGTTGTAGTAGTAGTTTTTCTCTAACAGTCTGCAGGCTGAGCCTTTCCTTGGATACCGCTTCCTCAAATCTCTTCCCTAAAAGAAGAACATATATATGTGTCCACATATATATGTATATATACATATATGTAGATATATATGTGTGCATACATATATGTATTCGTCTATAGTCTATTGAAAGTTGCAGTCTTTTCATTCTCAGAAATTCAAGCCAGATTTAATAGACTGTTGCTTTTTATCATTTTTTTTAAAGCAGAGGGAACAGCTTCCATTTTCTTCATCGTCATTTTCTGAGTGACATTGTTTCTTTGTGAGGACTCCATCCCGTAGTTGCTTCTTTCCTTATCATGAGACACTTAAGGTTATGTCCAGTGTTTCCATTTTATTAAGACGGTGTTACAGAGCTTTTGAGCAAGGGTCCCACATCCGTTTCTCCTTGTCTCATTTTCAGCTTACTGGAGGGTAAATACTTTGGACCAAATATTGCTCTTTTGTATATGTAGTATCTTTAGTTTTGTAAGAAACTACCAAATTGTCCTCCAAAGTGACAGGCCTATTTTATTTTCACCAATAATGACTAATGACTGAGAGTTCCTGTTGCTCTGCCTCCAGTCAGCCTGTAGCGATGTCATTATTTGATATCATTTGGATAGGTAGATTTTCTCATCTCATGGTTTTAATTTGCATTCCCCTATGACACACAGTATGGAGTAGTTTTGCATGTGCCATTTTTCTATGCTTATGTATTCTATAGTGGTTCTTGTCTTTGATGTTAGTCACCTCACTACCAAGGAGGAGTAATAGAACCATTTATAGAGAAGATCTTTAATCAATATTTAATGGCATTGTTTTCTTCGTGATGAGTTTTAAGAGTTCTTAAGATGAGCACTGGTGGCTCATGCTTGTAATCCTAGCAACTTAGAAGGCTGAGATTTAAGGATCATGGTTCAAAGCCTGATTGTGCAGCAAAGTCCGTGAAACTTTTATTGCTAATAAACAAAAAAACAAACTGCCCCCCAAAACAAAAACAAACCTCAGAAGTAGAGCTCTAAGTCAAGAGGTAGAGGGACAGTATCCAGGCTCTGAGGTCAAGCCCCAGGATTGGCACCAAAAACAAACAAAGAGCTCTTTGTTAATTGTCATTCTTTCTGCCTTTGAAACGAGTCTACCTTCCTGTAGGAATAGTATTTGTTTGGGTCAAGCAACATAGTAATGCTGAGTTCAGATGTGAAATTGTAGGATACTGTACAAAGATAATGAAAGGTCAATATTTTCCCTCTCCAAAATCTATGCCAAGGTTGTGCATGTAGATGAAGCATCGCTGTATTGAAGGTCATATTAGATGTGTTTTTGTAAGATTAACTTCTTTCTGTGCTTTTTTTTTTTTTTAGAATCCCATTTTCTGTTTATTATTCACTTTTCTACTCCAAAATATTTGCCTTTGTATGTTACTCATCCATGTTTCCATCTTTTTGGAAATTTCCTCCCACTCCTCCTCTTTGCCTTCTTTTCTTAAAAAAATATTCACTTACATACATAGAATGCACTTAATGGATTTGATGAATGCACAGACTTATGGGACCACTACCACAATAAAAAGGCTCTCCTACTACTTGAAGGATGGTTATTTCTTGAAGAAATAACCATCCCTTGTAATTTGCTTCTGAAAATTGTGGGGGTTTTTTGTCCTGGATTCATGCCCTTGCTGTAAGTAACTTCAAAAGAAGTAATAGAACCAGTTGCCCAATTACTTTGGAGATGTAATACGTGTTTCTCCAATTTCTCGCACATTTAGTACGTGCTTTGCACATAATAGGTCCTAAATAAATATTGATTTGTTAAATCTTACATATTTCTTTCTCCCTCTTTCTCACATGCACAGATACTTTTAAAAAACTTCCTATCTTAAGGACAAAAGTAGGAAAAAGAAATGAGACACACAAAAATGTATATGGGATTTAACAAAATATGAAAGTGAAAGTTCACACCTGTTTGAGAAAGGTATCTTAAATTGGGAGAAAAGCAAGTGCTTAAGTAATTTTCTTTTGTTTGCTCTAGTCTATAGAACATTTCTCTCAGCCAATTTTTTTCCCTTCACACAGGGTAGTTCTGACTTTCCTTTCTTATATCACTTTTATCTGCAGTTCTGGTGGCTGTTGGAAGCCCTAGCTTGGGCTTTCTTCATCTGTGTTTGGCCCCGTTACTTTTCTGCTGCTCAGAGAAACTGCCAAATACCTCTCTTGAGCCTCTTTTGGTAACTAGAAACCAGATTTTGCCTTTAAATTACAACAAATTTCTTAGAAATCATATTTTCCAAATATATTCTGACAAGTCACAAAAGTTGAGATTTAAAATCAAATTGTGCCTTAATTGTTATTAAGGCATTTACATTTTCTATTCTAATACTTGGACTTAAGGAAGATGTTTGCTTTGAAATTGAGAGGACCAGGAAGAGCAAGGAGAGTCTGACTGGTCATGTGAAGCCTTTTTGTTTGTTTCTGAAGTCAAGAAAAAAATAATTTTCTGGCATAGCGCAAGAATAGGGAATTTTAATAGTGTATTTCTAATAAGTCTGAAGGTGCCAGTAATGTTTGAGGCTGATTAGATTGTCTGTGTGGCATGGTAAGTTCTTCCTCTCCTGCTTGCTAAGTCCAGGTAAATGGTGCCCCTTTGTACCTCTGTCACAA